GAAGATTTAAGGATGTTTTCGTCTTCATATCTAAAAGAAGGCAATTAGAATAAAGCTTGGGCTCTAGACTCAGACCTCGTTTAGGTTTCAGTCCTGCCCTTATTATAAAATTATAATAGGATCTAGTTTAACTTTGGATTCCACTATAGACCTAGCTCAGGTCTTCTGAGGTAGTTAATTAATGGTTCAGTTGGGTATATTTCTGTATCTCTAAACCAAAACTGCTTTAGGAACTTTTTAATATAAGGGGGGGGGTTTGTTATTCAGAAATAGTATTTTAAATCTCAATTTATAAATTTACCAAAAATCCATTTCAAAGTTTTTCATTTACCTCATAAAAATACAAATTCTACTATGTATAAGAACAATATTCAAAATATCTGGACATGAAGGTTTTAAATATGTATCTCACAATATACACATAACCATAAAAACTTACCTATAAAAAATATATAAAGCACACAACTCATTAAACCTTTTTAGTGAGTTAGGCTCTGGAAATATGAAAATGTGGAAGAATGAGTCCTGATTCTTCTAAGTTTGGAAAAACAAACAGTACAATTCAATAAAAGTATTTTAATAACAAAGATGGGCAGAGCTGAAGTTTAGTGAGTAATCCAGAGAGGCTTGGTCTTCAAACCTACAGTTACATAAGTTCAAAGCAAAGCAAAGATTCCTTCTGGTTGGCAGTTAGACCGAACCTTGAAGAATGACTAGGATTTGGGCTGGTAAATAAGGAAAGAAACTCTAGTGATGGAAAAGACATGACTAAATAAAGGGAAATAAAAAAGTAAAGCTCTGGAACTAGAAAAATGGTTCAGTGGTTAACAGCACTGGCTGTTCTTGCAGAGGATTTGGTTCCCAATACCCACATGGCGACTAACAACTGTACAGTTCCAGGGCATCGGATGCCCTCTTCTGACCTCCGCAGGCACTGCACAACATAGGTGCACTTATATACATGCAAGCAATACACTCATACACATAAAATAAAAATAATAAATATATTTTTTAAAGTAAAGATCTAGTTCCAATAGAAATAAACTCATCAGTTCCACAGAACTGAAGATGGATCAAGCACAAGTTAAATGAGAAGCATTTTAAATCTACATTTAAGAGAATAGGCACAATATGGAACTATCGGATCATGTGAAACCAGTATGTATCCTGGAATGAACCAGGGAAGAGCAAAAAGATGGGAGAACAAGCTGTTAATGCACTCTCAGGATAAAATTATATGGTATGAAACATGTTGATAAATAAGAGTGGCAAGAAAAAGAATAGAAAAGTAATTGTGAAGAAAAGACAGACTAACTGGACATATGACAGAATGAGCAAACAATATGATTTTTAACTTGATGTAGAGACTGATGACATCATTAACAGACACAAAGATGTCAATGAAGAGAGCAAGCTTAGTAAGATATTTTAGCCCCAAATTCATGACAATGATTTAAAACTATAAATGAATATTCAGATTGCATAAAAAGATCCTAGTCCATCAAGTCATGAAAAAATTAAACTTGTAAATGATGAAATAGATAAAATTAAATTACAATTACAAAAAAAAACGGGACAATAAGAATCCCTTGAAGAAATGTTTAGTGAAAATATCGTAGTTGCCATTCTGTGCAAAAGAAGAAGTAGAACTGAACTTATTGCCTGACTACTTTGCCTGACTACTTAGACATTTTTAATTATAAAATAGCAACATATTTAATAATATTTCATTTTAAACCAGTAAGTTGTAAAAGGTAAGAATGAGGGACTGGAGTTCTGCAGAAGCATAGAAACTAGGTACTGACTTAGAAGCCAATGGCAGTGAGGAAAAAGCTGAGATTTAAGGTTAAAAATCAAGGGGCTGGAGAGATGGCTCAGCAGTTAAGAACACTGACTGCTCTTGCAGAGGACCCGGGTTTGATTCCCAGCACCCACATGACAGCTACAAACCGTCCTTAATGCCAGTTCCAGGGGAATCCAAAACCCTCTTCCGACCTCCATGGCATTGCATGACATGGGTGCCCTCACATATATGCAGGCAATACACTCACATAAAATGAAAATAATAAACAAAATATTGAATAAGTTTAAAAATCAAAATGCCAATCTCAAAATTGTTGGTCCTGTATTTTATGCACACCAGTAAGGACTATCAAAAGGCATTCTATACATTACCATATGAATCTTTAGAAGTCATGTAAAAATACAGATATAATCACATAGTGCAAAACTGATGAAACTGAAAATGTACTCTAGACCTCAGTTTTGGAAAAATCAGAAAGTTGTATATTCTTGAAAGAAGGAAAGTATTCTAGAGACGGAGTATTTTGATAAAGGCTTCCTTCATATGTGGATGACATTTCTATACAAGAGATAAATAGCTCTAGCTGAGTATCTTTATAACACCCAATGAGAGCTCATTCAAACAATTAATGAACTTTCCAATACAAGCTATTTATATTAAAATGTAAGGAAGATAGATTAATAAATATGTCTGTGGGTTGTAAAGTTCCCCAAATTTTTCTCCTGATAATAAAATTTGGGGTACTTAACCAAAAAGAAAAGATGAATTAATATATAAACAGACTGATGAATAATTAGTCTGGCAAAAAAATTATTTTAGTTATTTTATGATCTTTTGAGATGAGAAGTTAAAAAATATTCAAAGGTTACTCATCAAATCAGTAGGTCATTTAGTATTAGCTATTTAAGACAAACAGCATTCAGAAGATTTAAAAGCTCAAAATCTTGTCATTACTCAAAAAAAAAAAGGGGGCGGGAGGTGGTATTTATCACATTTCACTATCTGGTGTCCTGAATTTGCCCAAAGTGCACTACTTGTACTCAGTTACAATGGGCAAGAAGTACAAGATAAGTAAGAACAGCAGAGAAGACATAATAAAAGTTTAAATACTTGATCTTTTAAGAACTTTGGCTTCTCAGATTCAAGGAATGAGAAGATAAATTAGAAAAAGACTTTAAGCAAACAGCATAAACTTAGAAACTTCTTATTAAGCACTTGTCAACTCAAACAAAATACTCAACAAAGACTATGTCTACATTCACCAAATCAAGCACCGAATTCGGTTAAACAAGAAGGTATTAGTAAGTCTGATAACTCTTCCAACGTGGAAACAGAAAAACAAGTCTTTAATAAGTCAATTCCCTGTATTTTCTTCTACTACCCAAACCAGTACTGTATTAATATTAAAAAGTATTTGAAATGTTTCTCTTCCTCCAAGCCAATACAATTCTCCACACAGAAGTAATGTTAAGTTTGTATTTGGCAATTTTTAAAAAACATCCTGATAGGAACCATTATCCAATTATTCTGACATACAATGATTGCTTCACAATCAATTTCATACTGAAACATGTCAAGTGTATTTGAAAGGAATTTGAAGATTTTTCATTTTATATAATTACAACATCATTTTTAATGCCAAAGTTGCTTTCATTCTCAAAGTCATGTATTTAGAATCTAGAGTTATACTATGCTTTAAAGTTCAGGCAAATAACATTTGCTGTACATTAGAGAACTATGCTGTATTTTCACTGGGTACCATTCTAAATTCCTGATCTGTCCTGCAATTTGTCAGTCATTTCGATCCTTCCAGACAACTTTGTAAACAGAGGCAACAAGCCAAGTTTGATATGAGAATTTGATTAAATAAAACTTAAAATGCTCACCAGTCATTAAAACAGGAAGGAAAATACCCCCATATCCCTGTTTTTCAAAGGCTTTTAAGTTAATTATGAAATATGAAGTTGAAAAGATACAAAGTATGAAGCCTTAAGTTTCAACCTCCCAAACAAGTTTTTTAAGTACAGTTATTATTCAAAATAAAGGTCTGATCTTCCACACTATCAAGCCAAGTTTGAGACAGCCAGAAAAGTCTTTTTCATTCTAAGTTTTCTAGTAATTCAAGTTGCTTAGTAAGAAAATATTAAGTCTACGTCATGGCACCTATTACCATCACTTAAAAATTACTTTTCATCCAGAACTCTACGGGTTGTGTTGCTTTTAGCCTGTTAAAGGCAAAGCAACATTATCTCCGGATTGCCAATAGTTTCTCCTTATTTGGCTAACATTGAGAGATCCCAATCGGACTACTATAAAACTTTAACATGCACAAAGCATCCATTTTGAGAAAAGGTTGTGACTAGCTTTCCTTTTTTTCCCCCATCCCAAAAGGAAAAATCTGAGCTGGGGAACCGTCTTTGAGGAGCGCATAGTGTTTATTCTTTCCTTTCTAACCCCAGTGCACACCCCAGGACCTAGGTAGGGCTCAGGGATCCCTGACACTGCGGCAAACTCCCAACTACAGGACTCCATAGATCCCAGTTCAGAGGTGGGCTCAAGTCCATTGGGAAGACTCCTTTACCCTAAACACTACCATCCCCTCTCTAAGCCAGCGCAGATCAGCTAATTACAGCCAGTTTTCCCCTCCCCAGTGACCAAGAGTAATAAAAGAGAAAACAGGAAATCGTTCGCTCAGGGCACTCGGCTTAGGGCTCTTGATTACTATTATTATCATCATTTGTAATCAAGTCCTAAAAAGTACACCAAACCCAATGCCCACCTAAAGGCCAAAAAGGTCCATTTGCCCGAGCTTTCCTACAGCTCCCGAGTGCTTTGCAACACCCCCCCGCGCCACACAAACACACCAATGTATCACTGACACCGGGCCGGGCACGACCCATTACATCCGTTTCTCTCGACCCCGAATACCAGACCCGGGTCTACAAATGGCCCCGGGGGTCCCAAGACGACCACAGTCTTCTGCCCTGCACCCCGGAAATCAGCCGGCTCCCAACTGCAGCAGCAGCGGGTCTGGGGGGCCTGGAGTCCCGCTCCCGGCCAGGCAGCTCGGAGCCGCCCCCTCACCCGCAGCAGGGAGTCTCCCGCCATCCCCGGCCTGAAGACCGGAGCCCGGCGAGGCCCCGGCGCGAGCACGACGCGGGCCCGGCTCCGGAGTCCCGGCGGTCGGCGCACAGACCTGGTGCAGGGCGGTGAGTCCGTCCACATTGGCGTAATTGATGTCGGCGCCGCGGTGCAGCAGCTTGAGGACCTCGTCGGTGTCGCCGCTCGAGCAGGCGGCCAGGAATACGGCGCCATCGTCGAACTTCACCTTGGTCTTCTGGCGCTTCACCACTGGAGGCTCGAGGTCCGTCTCCGAGCCGATCCAGCGCTTCAGCTGCTCGTTCCGCTTCTGCTTCGCGTCCGCCATCTTCATCCCCTCTCCTGCCGCCGGCTCTTCTTATCGCGAGCGGAGGAAAGGGGCGGCGGCGACGGAGGCGAGGAGACGCGGGGGGTGTGCGGCCGTGTGTGCGAGCGCGGGCCCGAGCGGGGCTGCGAGCCGGGGAGGAGACGCTCGAGACTTCCAGTATCCCACAGAGCACTGGGGCTGCGCACCCAGCACAGCGGACCTCCCCGCTTCCTACCACAGACACCCTCCCGCCCCCGGCGCGGCAGCCCGTCAGCCACTGCCGGGCTGGACGTAACTTCGCGAGATCGCGGCCGGGGAGGCGCCCAGTGGTCAGTGCGCATGCGCCGCGCGCCTTGGCTCGCCCCAGGAAGAGCGCGGCGGCCGAGAGCGGCGGGGGCGCCACCGGAGGGAAGCGGGTGTGGCCGGAGCGGCCGGGGCGTGGGGGCTGGGTCAGTCTTTGAAGGGAGGAGGCCGCGAAGGAGGGCTGTCCAGCGGGACGTAGGGCTTTGGAGGCCGGTGGTCGTGCGCGAGGCCGTACCCGGCCGACTTGCCCCCAGGCTGGGCCGCTCGGGGCGTCTGCCCGGGGCGGAGGGTGTTCCTATTGGCTGCGGTATTTGAATGGAATGAAGACTGGTCGGGCCTTAGGTGCTTGTGGGGGCTTCTTCCGAGGAGCTCGGGTGAACCGGGACAGTGCAGTCTTAAGAGCATTTTAAAAGTGGGGTCTGAGTTTTCGTCCTGGCCCTTGGGGCGGTGACCGAGGTGATCGCCTACCAACTGGGGTTGACCTGCTGTAATTGCAGTGGCTTCCTGCCAACACCCACTGGAGAAATGTCTTTCCTCTTAGGCTCGCTGGGGATTGTTTTGTTGTTTCTGTCTCTGAAGCCTGCTCTGAGCCTTCTTCCTTCATCGCTTTCAGCCAGTGTGGCACTGCCCCTGAGCTTAGCTCAGCCCTGTTAACTGGTCCTGACCTTTTAAGGGATTTCTGGTTCCAGCTCCATGGCTTTCTACGGAGTAAAGACCCGGCTGCGTCTAAAATTCAAAAGGAATGTGGTTAAAGGCAATTAATTCAACCAGTATTATTGATTAAAAGTAAGTCATGACTTCTAAACACTGAAAATACAGTTTTAAATAAAACACTTATTGAATTCACTTGAAAAAGACCTCAAAGTGATTTTAACTTTTTTTTGCCTTTTTTAAACACTCTAGTTATCCCCCCCCCTTAGATGTATTATAAATCATAAAACCTTACCATTAAATGCAAGTTTAGGGGATCTTAGAGACTGAGCGCCCCCCACCCCCCAAAATTGCAGTTTTACTTAGAAGTACGGTTAGGATTCATTCTACTAATATGCACCTGTTCTGTATCAGGTCTCTCTCTTGAGCGCCCCCC